TTCACTACTTTTTACAAGGCTTCAACTGCCCTTACACTACCACTTGCCTCGCCTGGCAAAACGCTATTATATTTATAAAAAAAAATATCACAAATTTTTTGTTTTTTTTTTTTTCTTTTTTTTTGTAAATCGCACGCCTGCGTAAAAAGAAGTTCGCACTCTTCTGTAGATTGCAAGAATCTGATCCGGCACGCACTTACGAGCCAGGCCGCAAGCTACGCGTCGGCCTTCAAAATTCTCCTGCGAGTGTGTATTGGTGCCCAATCATTTGGCGCCGCCCCCATTACCCAAAGGGACCGGGTTGTATAGCGCACGCCACCATGGCACACCAAGTACACTGGGATAACTTTTCCCCTCGCTGCAGTAAAGAAAAAGGCGACACCCCTTTTTACGGAATTCCCGCGCAAAGCATACCGTTGCCCTAATATTTGTTAGTGGAGGAACCGTTTTGGGGAACACCTCCTCTTGGAGACTTATACCACTGGGTAGGCACACACCGAATGCAACCGTGCCATCAATCCATGGCTTCAAATAATGCAACTATTTGCCGACAGATATCACTGCCAACGCTTGGAGTGAAAGGGAGCTTAGGCAAAACAAAGGAAATTAACAGACACACATAAAAGAAGTTTTTGTTGCGGCCAGTACGCGACACTCAGTATGCTCAACACGTTACACAGTTTAATGAGTTTTACAATCAGACAGAAATTTATTGTAGTGATTTCATTTAGAAACTGTTTTCTTAAATTTTTTCATTCATTTTTAGTTTCTTAATTCATTTTTATTTTTTTTTTAATTTTTTTTCTGGTCTATTTGTTTATTTCTTAATTTAATTTCTTTCATCACAGTCATGTTTTCACTAGTTTCCTCTTTCCTTAAATTACTTGCATTTTTCAATACACGTACACAGAATTTTTTTTATTTTTTTTTTTTTTTTTAAACTAACAAACAAATAAATTATATTTGTATGATACACAAGTAAACCAAAAACAAAAAATAAAAACACATCAAATCAGGCAAAAGTGAAGATATGCATAAAAAGTCAACTTAAACCATTATCGGCCATAAATTAACGACAGTGCTATGTATGTATGTGACAATGTTTGTTTAAGTACTCGTCCTTGGGAAATGTCAAGCGTTGCGGCAGTCAAAGGTAAATGGCTAAGCAAATGTTGGTTTAGGGTGTAGCTAAAGGCGCTCGTGTCTCATATTACGTACATACTAATGAACTTATTTATAGGAAATATATTTGTACACACATACGTGTATTTCGATTGATCTATCTACACGAGTACCACCCAACCGGCTTATAACTACGCATACTTCATGCTTCGCGCTTCTCGATTTTTCCTATTTGTGGATGGTGTGGCCATTAAAGTCAATAAACTGCAAAGTCTCTACGCCCACAAAATAATAAAAATAAAGTTAATGCAGCCTAAGCGTAAAATATTTTTGAGTTTCAGAGGGACATTGACGCTTTTAAGTATATAAGTTATTTCTAATTGATAGCTGGTTTGAACTGTGATTTTGAGGAAAATAGTAATAGAAAGTTTGGTTTAAAACTACACATAAAAAATTAATTATTAATAAAAAACAAGAAAAGCTAGAAACTAAATTATAATTTGTATTAAAATTAAAGTTGAAATTAATATTAAACTTAAATTTAAGATTAAAATTAAGATTAAAATTAAAATTAATATTAAAATTAAAATTAAGATTAAAATTGAAATTAATATTAAAATTAATATTAAAATTAAAATTAAAATTAAAATTAAAATTAAAATTAAATTTAAAATTAAAATTAAAATTAAAATTAAAATTAAAATTAAAGTTAATATTAAAATTCACTTCCTTTTTAGCGTGTGCATGCAAGTGTTTCAAACCGAAATTTTATCAAAATAAAATTTAAGTTTAATTTAAGAAATAAATTTCCCCAGACAACAATTAACGAAATATTCGAAAATAAATTAACAAGTATTATATATCAAAGCATTGTCGCGCCTACTCTTCCGCCTTTTCACCCACATTTACACGTTTTAACGTATTTACAATAAGCGATACGCCTTTATTTAGATATGTTCAATACACACGCATATATATATGGCGCCTTAAAAAAAAATTAAAAATTTTGTGGAAAATAAAAATTAAATTAAAATTAAATTTACTTCCGTTGAAATTACTGAGATATCAGCGTCTTTCCGCATACAAAACAAAGATGCATACGCTTTTACAAACATATTTACAAGCATGCTTGAGCGCATTTTATAGTCATTTGAATGACTGAAAGCCTTACATTGACATGCCCACAAACATGCGTACATACATCAGTCATAAATGCGAATCCCATTTGAGGTTGCGTATACGACCTGTCCGTGTCGCCTCAGCTTTTATTTGCATACTCGTATAGTAAACGTGTGTTGGCATGCCTGTATGTGTATGTATGTTAGTATAATATTAAATTGAAATCGCTTTCGGGCAGCTTATATTCGCATGCAAATGAGGAAATAAAAATTTAGCGACACACGCCTTTGTATTTTCACTGTGATTTCGTGGGTGTGGATTTGTGTGTGTGTGTGTGTGTGTATATATGTGAATGCACTTAAGGTGACTAGTAACAAAGATAGAAAGAATGCATACAGAAAAAGGAAAAAAAGATAATAAATTTGCATGTGAAAAGCATGTAGAAGAAAGCAGAATATTTTCAAAGGCAAATATTTTTTTTTTCGCAAAAACAACAATAAAAGTGCACACGTGGCATGCTAATGCAGGCGACGTTGAAGTTCAAGTTTATTTCAGCTTAATTTTATTTTATGAAGGCATGAGATCTGCTGATAAAGTTTAGATTGCTAATCTTTGCTTGAGATTAAAACGTTGTATAGTTGGCAATTATTATTATTCTGAGTTCATAAAAATAGATAAACAGAAGATAATGTTGAATTTTGGAAAATTTTCAATGAGTAACTGAATAAAAAAGAAAAATATTTAAAAAGCTACAGAATTCTTTACAAAATGTATTTTCAAGTATATTTTCGTTGTGTTTAAAAAATGTGTTTTTTCTAAAATGCTCAAAAATGCATTGTTGAATGTTTTCATTGTGGTATTAAAAATAAATTCTTTAAATTTTTATTAAAATTTTTTCTTTTAATACTTTTTCTAATGTTTAAAATAATTGAATAACTTTAACCTTTTTCTAAATATATTTTAAAAGCTAAAAATGGACAAAAAATAAATAATTTATTGATTATTTAAAATTTATTTACTTCTACATTTATTTGAATATTTGCAAATAAAATATTATTTTCCAGTAATTTAATGTAATATTAGTGTAAAATTAGACTGCTTTTTAAATAAATTTAAAAGAAAATAGCTGGCAACTTTGTTCGAGTTATTTTATTTCTTAAATCCGGTTAACAGTCCTTTCGATTTGAACATTTAGAAATTAGTTTGAGGAAATGTAATATATTTTAAATCATAAACCATAAAACTGTGGCAACCCTTCATCGATTTTTCTTATTTTCATTCGTTTATTAATTACTTTTATTTTCTCGAAATAATTGTTTTTAATTTATAAAATTGAAATAAAATTAAATAATAATAATGATTTTGGCAACCCTGCCCAAAAAGTTGCTTTCACTAAATGTTTGATCTTTCAAAAATTATTTTTGCAACACTTCGTCGCTAATTAAACGGTTAAAAAATTAATTTACATAAAAACAAAAAATTAATGAAAATATAATCAAAAAAGTGGCAACCCTGCTATGAAGTTTCATTGTTTTCGTATTTTTATAATCCAGGAAAGCACCTATAAATATCTTTTATGATTTTAAAAATAAATATGGGTATTTTACGTTAAATTATAAATTGAGTTGGCAACCCTGCCCTAAAATTTGCTTTGGGGAAATATTTTATTTTTCTTATATAGAGCTTTTAGCTCAATTTGAACATATATTTGTTAATTTGGAAAACATAAAATTTTGAAACTAAAAATAATAACTCATGAAGATGTGGCAACCCTTTCTCCAAACATTTCATCGATTTTATTATTTATAGATATATTCCAAAAATTTATAAAAGTATTTTAAAATACACTCATATGAAATTAACAGCACAATTGGCAACCCTTTTCGCAAATTTGATTGGAGAAAATATTTTTGCAGTTTTTCATATAGCCAAAATACTTAAAAAAATATTTTGAGAAATATAAAATTGAAATTTAATATAAAAGTTATATGGCAACCCTACTAAAATGAACACGCTGATTTTCGACCATTAGTAACCAGTTTTTAAAATAAGGAATATGTATTCGTTGCAAAATCTTTTGTTTGTAAATATATTGAGCATAATTAAATATATTGCAAATAAATCAAATATTTTCTTAACAAATTTTTCTGCAAATAAATAAACATTGTGCCAAATTGACTTGGCTTATTGCCTAACTATTTACTTAAGGGCCCAACCAGCGCGAACAAAAGAAACGAAACTACGAATACCGAAACCAATATTTACTGAGCTGAGCGACAAAAACAGCTGCGTGCATATGTCATAATTGTTGGGCCATAAAAACCGAGACAAATTTTTATTTATGCGCACCACACACGGGGATTAAGTTGGCTTTATTTGATTTTTGATTTTTTCTTCAATGCTAATTTTTTTTTTTAATTATTTTAAAGAATGTAAAACTTTTTTGTTTGATTATGCAAAAAATGTACGCAGCTCAGCTTAGCGTTCCAAGTACATAGTACCCGCACGTGTAGGCGAATATTATGCGTATGTAGTGTAGATTTGTATAAGCTTAGCGAGCGATGAGACTTGTAAAACCAGAAGTGTTTGCGGCGTGATGAGTGACTTACAAGGACGCACGTCTTCAATGCTCGAATGTTAACTATTTTTAAATTTACGTTAATGAATTTTAATTTTAATCTCGCACAAGACTTGCCGCAATGAGCCATACTAATCAATGTACTCTCTCTCTCTCTCTCTCTCTTTTCAACTCTTTACAGACAATTTGTTGGCCGCTCGCCACAATCCTGCACATCGTAACAGCACATCGAGCGATGCCGCTGCCAGCGATGACCTCAACTCGAGTTCGAGCAATGAAGATTTGAGTGCCGTCTACACGGTAATGTCACAGCCGGACAAGAAGGGCTGCAAGGCACGTAGAAATCGGCAGCAGCGTCGTCGTAAGCGTTTAGACGAACAAAACGGCGACCAACTTCAAGCCATTCCCATGGATGTGGACGAGGATAGCAAAGAGAATCGACGTCCACAGCAGCAACAACAACAGCAGCAACAACAGCAACAGCAGCACAACCAACAGCGCCAACAGCAGCAGCAGCAGCAACAACAACAGCAATCCGTTAAGTCAAGCGGCATCAATCTGCGTAAGCAATGCACTAAAGCGGCCGCCTTGAAAGCGGTCAACAAGCATCACAGCAGCAATAACAATAGTAGCAGCAACAACAGCGGTGGAAACACAAAGTCTCATGCGCTCAGCAACTCCCCATCGAATTCATCAGTATGCAGCGCACTCTCCTCCGCTTCATCCTCATTCTCACACTCAAGCACGTCGCTCGCTTCGAGCACTTCGTCCGCTTCGAGTTCGCCCACCAATTCGGCGAACTGCTCGCCCACTGCCTCACCCACCGCCAGCAAGAGAAATGCAGAGAATTTCCGTAAAATTGCACGCGCACTCGCGCCACCACTGCGTCAGCACAGCAAACTGAATATGTCCGAGGTCGAGCTCGTGCAACATTTACGCCGTTACATAATCGATCCGAATTTATTGCGCGTCTACGGTTACCCAGTAGAGAGCGCCATACACGAGGGTTGCATTGAAATTTACAAATGTCTCCCACGACCGTTTGGCGTACACACACATCACACCACATCCAAAACGGATATTGTCAACACTGCGGATGGCTTGCAAATGCACTTCTCCACAAGCACCACAACAAGCGTCGACTTGAAGACGCCGTGGACGCTCGGTAGCGATAACTCTACGGATTCAGGTCAGGGTTCGGGCGACTCCAGTCCGCCCTCCATGGATTCGGACTCGAGCGAAGCGGGAGAAGATGAGCCCGCCACCACTACGGCCTGTTTTACACCCGATGGCAGCTATCAGATATTTTCACAGTACGATCAATCATTGGAGAAACAGTGTGTGCGTTGTATGCGCACATTCCATGTGACCGAGACCGGCGAGTATCTCAGCTATGAGAGTTGTACTTTCCATTGGGGTAAACTCTACAACCTGTACACAGGCAGTAAGGGTTACACAACACAATACACCTGCTGTGCGGGCACTAAAGAGACCGAGGGCTGCTCACGCAATCCACTGCACGTGTGGACCGGCGCTGTAGTGGGCATAAATGGTCCGTACACAGATTTCGTGCATACACGTCCGCGTTCCGAGGATAAATCCGCTAGCGCAACGAAAGTCTACGCATTGGACTGCGAAATGTCTTTCACCGGTCGTGGCTTGGAAGTCACAAAAGTGACTGTGGTCGGCTATGACGGCCAACTGGTGTATGAGCATTTCGTGCGACCCGAAGTCGAGATTGTCGACTATAATACACGTTTCTCTGGCATTACCGAGAAAGATCTCTGTACACACTCGAATAAGGGAGTCAAAACGTTGGCGGAAGTGCAACGCGATTTGTTGCAGTTGATCGATGCCGATACCATATTGATCGGTCATGGGTTGGACAATGATTTGCGCGTACTGCGAATAGTACACAAAACTATTATCGACACATCGATCGCATTCCCGCATTCGAGCGGTTTCCCCTATCGGCGCGCACTCAAAAACCTCACAAAGGCCTGTCTCAATCGCGACATTCAGTGTGGCGATGCGGGGCATAGCAGTTTCGAGGATTCACGTGCCTGTCTGGAATTGATGCTGTGGAAAGTGCGTAAGGAGCTGCGACCGACGGCGTACTGAAGGGTACACAACTACATACAGTGGCGTGTTGCTCAGCGTGAGAGTGAGTGAGAGGGAGAGTGTTAGTGTATAAGGTTGAGAGTTTGAAAGCGTGAGTGTGTATGTGTGAGTGAGCTTTTTTTATACATTTACATATTGTATACGTGTTTGAGTGTGTGTTTAGATTTTTTTTACTAGTTTAAACTTGTAAATGAAAATGTTGTTGTTTTTTCTCGCTTTCTTTACAAGTTTTTTTTTTTTAAGCTGAGCTAAATAATAAGCCACCTTGTGAATTAGTTTGAAACCAGAAAGAAATGTGAAATCTCTTAAATATTATTCAAAAAGCTGCTGTTGTTCACATTTAACAAAAATGGAGCGGAATTTTTAAAAAAATGTACTGATTTATTGCTGTGATTTTTGCACTTGCGCGCGCTGTTCTCTCATTTATTTAATTCTCTTTTTTATTTTTGCTCGTTCATGAGAAAATGCTGAAACAATTTCATTCATAATTTAAATCATGCAAAAATCATCAAAATGGAAAATATTTTACAGACTTTTTGTGAAAGTTTAATTTTTTTTTTGCTTGAAAGTCCCTTACTTGAAGAGTTCATTGATATTATTTTTCCAAAAAGCTGCTTAAAAATAAAATATGGTTTAAAAAAAAAAACATTTTATTCGCAAAGTGTTTTGAAATTTTTTAACAATTATTTTTTGAAAAGGAATAGGAAAAATTTGTAAATTCTTCTTCTTCTTCTGACCGTACAACAGTTTTTTTTTTCAAAAGTGAAGTTACAAAAATATTTTTAATTTTTCGAAGAACGAATTTTGAAAAAAAACCTTCATACATATTTTTGTTGCGATAGTCGTTTAAGTTCTTTGAAACGTTTTTTTGCAAAATTTTTGAATTGTAATTTTTTTAAAGTAATTTTTTGTTTGGAAAGTGTTGCTTACGAAAATTTATGTAATATTTTTTTACTAGTAACTTTTTTTTCAAAAAGTAAGCCATTAGATATATTTAACAAATTTAAAATTATGAAAAATTAAATTTTTTTATGAAATTGAATTTCGGTTTTGTTTTTAATTTATCTAAAAACAATATTTCAAAAATATTTGAATACGAAAAGTTCTTTTAGGTGTTTTTATTGTTAAATTTATGGAAATAAAATTTTATTTGAATGTCGATTATCTTTTGAATGTTGGAAAATTCTGTTTACGAAAATTATGATTTATTTCCCAAGTATGTACTTTAAAAAATGAAATGGCGGATTTGAAAAAATTTTTGCAAATTTTATACTAATAATTTTTTTTTTAAATTTCCTGATTTTTTCGAGAATTTTTAAATTTTTTTAAACTCATCGCGATTTTATGTAAAAGTTGTTTTTGTAAGGACAAAATTTCAAGCATTTTTCTCGAAATTTCTCAAATTTTTTCAACAGTGAATTTTATAAAAACTCATTATTTACTAAATTTTAATTTTTTACGTAAATTTTTAAAAAGGCTTGCAGTTTTTTTCCGAATAGTTTTTTCATTTATTTCCAATTCTTATTTTTGTTTTCCGTTTTCCATTCACAATTCTCGCATATCTTTCAAATTTTTTTTTACGAAATATTTTTTTCTCTAATTTTCGCAAAAAATATTTCTTTCTCACTCTCATACATTTTTTTTTCAAAATTTCGGCCAAAATTGATGTTCTGTTTTTGTAAAATTGTGTAAAATTTTTTGTAAAATTTCACTCCAATTTTGCCAAATTTCATTACTTCGAGAATTGTTTTTTGTTGTAAATAATAAAATAAAAACAAAATGGACGTACAACTACAAACAAAAAATATCGATTTGCAAGCACATTTATAAGGAAACATACGAATATTTTTATATGTATTTGCTGCTTACATAATTTTTTTTTTTTACCCAAATAAGGTACATATATACATATGTACATTTATGTTTGTATGTAAAAGCTGCAGATAAATTAAAAAAAAAATATTAAATGTAGTTAAATTTTACTTTGTTAATGTTAATTTTTAACATTGCTAAAATACATTTACATATACATACAATTTTTTCATTAATTTAGTTAATAGTTTTCATATGAAAATAATTTTATGATTTTTTTTTATTTATTGACGAATACATTTTTCATTTACGATTAGACAAAAAAAAAATAAAAAAATTTTGAATAAAAACATTTTTTTAAACACAAGAGAAGTCTAAAAATAAACTAAGAAAACTTACCTAAAAGCACAAAAAATATTTAAATTAAAAAAAAAAAAATTTTTTTCTGTTATTTGATTAGGCGGTAAAACATTTGTTGACCTCACCACCATTTCATGTAAATTTAATTTTAGCAGTTTTTTCGTAATTTTAGCTGTAAGTTTACTACCACGAAATAAAGCATGTGCATACATATATCATTTTGTAAAAAAAAATTAGAATTAATTAAAACTAAAATAAAATTGCTGTATTTTATGAAGCCTTAGCATTAATTATTTCCGAAAAAGAAGTATAAATTTCTTTTAAACACTAATGTCTTTTACAGAAAAAAGGAAGCATAAAGAAGCGGCGAAACAAAGAAAACCCCCATTGTAAAAATGATGTTCCTAGTTTATAAACAAAAATTATTAAAAAGCAAAAATTTAGCATATAAAAATGGGTTGTCAATTTTTTCCACAAAAAAAAAAAAAACAAATTTTCATCTGTGTCTAAAGTGAGTTAAAATTATAAAGAAAAGAAATTTTGACTTGAAAACAAAAACAAATGCAATTTTGTAAATCTTAAAAAATTGTATGCAAATTTTTAACTTTATTTAATTTCGTTTTTCTTATTGAACCTTCGCACACCTTTGTACAGCGCACATCTCAATGATAAGTGTTGAGAAATTCTTTGTAAACAGCACAGTGTGAAAACAAAAACAAAAAAGAAAAAAAATATTTGTATTCAACACAAACAAATTTAACAGCAAACTTAATTTAAAAAAAAAAAAAACATACAAAAAATACAAAAAAAAAAAAACTAAACCTGACGAACATAAAATGTCCACCAACACTTTTGTGGCGATATTTTATGGCTGCTAAAAAATAAAATTTGATTTATTTTTTACGATAATTTGAAAAAAAAAGAATTCAAAACTCTCTATTTATTTCGCGATATAGGCGGCAAGGAATTGCATGGGTGGGTAGCTGGAGGAGTTTTGGGGCAAATCAATGATATTGGGTGAGTATGTGGACAAAGAGAGTAAGTAGCGCTAGAGAAAATCGTAAACCCCAACTCGAAATTCTCTTCTCCTTACAATTCTATGTCCGCTGTTTTTCCTTAAGCATAGAGACTGCATTCGGAGGTTTTTTGAACGCTCTACGCGAGGCGGTTGACTTTCTCGCGTCCTAAAGCACTTAATGAAACAAATGTAGAGTTTTTTGTTTTTTTATAGTCTCCCTCAACTGGAGTCCACAATGTGGAAAATGAATACGATGCCTGAATCACTGAAAAAATATTCTTAAAAAGTCTCTAAAATGTTTTCTATGGCCGCTTTCATCTCACTGCCGTCTGTCTGAAAATCTTCGTTCCGTAACTTCTATTTTAAATTTGAAAAATGGAAAAAGTCACTGAGAGCAAGATTCGCACTGTAAGGTGGATGATCAATTTCTGTAAATCCAGTAGCTTATAAGGCATCCCTCACAACCGGGTGCCAAGTATTGTTGTTGCTGTACGACTACCACAAGCGACTGACTCAACGAATTAGCGTAATACTGACGATTGATTGTTGTTCTCTTTGGCAAGTAATCAATTAATTATATTTGCTCGTTTTCCCAGAAAATGGTAGCCGTCATCTTCGACGCCGACTTTTCCACTTTGAATTTGTTTGGTCGAGATCATACTAACGAAGCCAAGATTCATCCGAATCATCTGGGCACATCTCCAAAAAATCTCTACAACTCTCCAATCGTCACTGCTTGTCGAGCGGCGTGAGCATTTGCGGTGCCCAACGCGCACTATTTTTTTCATATTCAATTATTTATGCAAAATCTCCAGCTCATTAATTGCTAATCTGTAATTCCTCTGCTATTTTCCAAAATTTAAGGCTATAATAAGCTGTTACTAATTTTTCGACTTTCTGAACTTTTGCCTCGGTCAGGGCAGTCACTGGGCAGCCCGGCCGGGGGTCATCTTTACAGGTTTCCCTACCTCCGTGGAAAGAGGATCGACGAACGCAACCCCTTTGTAGATTTTAAAGCCGCCTTCGACAGCACGAATAGGAGCTGCTCTTCGGTTCCTATGTTTGAATTTGATATCCCCGCAAAACTTATACGGTTATGTAAGCTGATGTTAAGCAACGCTAAAAGCTCCGTCGGGATCGGAAAGGACCTCTCTGAGCCGTTCCATTCTAAAGGAGGTTTCAGACAGGGTGATTCCTTATGGTGCAACTTTTTTAACTTATTGCTGGAGAACATTATAACAGCTGCATCTATAAAAGTGTACAGCTGCTAGCGTACTCCGATTATATTGACATTATTGAGCTCAACAACCGCGACGTAAATTCTGCTTTCTCCAGACTCGTTGAAGAAGCGTACGGCATGGGACTGGTAGTGAACGAGGGCATTAACGACTCGGCTCCCAATTTTGAAGTCGTATATAACTTCGTCTAGCCTGGAACTGATATGAACACCAACAACAATGTCAGCCTCGAAATACAACGCAGAATCACTTTTGCCAATAGGTGCTACTTTGGACTGCGTAGCAATTGAATAGTAAAGTCCTCTCCCGACGAAGGCAAACCAAACTGTACAACTCCCTCATCGTTCCCGTTCTGCTATATCGCGCGAAAGACGTTTTCGTTTCATAATTATTTCCAGAAGGATCAGAGGAGTGGTGACAGCACAACTCTGTTGGAGGATTCCTCTAAGTGCTAGATTGAGCATTTTAGCTTCCTTCCATTCCATTTTAGCTTCGTACAGCTCAGTAGAGTTTTCTTCATCAATAATAAGAGGTTAAAAGATTCTAAGCGGGCCGCTTTACAAGAGCATCAAAAAACTGTCCAATCCAATAAAAAATTTTAAAAATCTCGACCGTTGCAGACGCTGCGAGAAGCAGTTCCTGCGCCAAGTGAGGAGCTGCTTATTGAACTCTTATGA